AGTTATTATTGTTTAAAGTTTAAAAAAAATTTACTTAGAAAAAATTTGCTTGATTTCTATTGACTCAACCCCATATAGTTTTATACTAAAGATCAACTTATAAATATGTATTATAAAATTTAACTTATAATTTATTCAAAAATATCTACCAAATTGTTAAGAGATTTTTGGTTTATAATGTTTTAGAAAGGTTACTACATAACGATTTAAGGCTTTATTAATAAAGCGTAAATAAGTTTTACTGTTCTGTGTTTGTAAAACTGAAATTAACGTTAAGATTTTTTTTTTACAAACATTCTATTCAAGCAAAAGAAAAAAAATTTATCAATTTTATTGATTGCGGATAATATTTGTTTACTATATATATATACATATTTCAAAGTATTTACTTAAATAATACAAGTAAACATTGAGTTTTTATCTGTTTGTTTACTTAAAAACTTGTTTATTTAATAAACAATCGATCAAACTGCCAGTTATAATTTTTGGGGAACGTTAAAGCCAGGTTACGGCTAGGGTTGGATTTTTGATGCTTTTTGATGCAGTTAGGTTATTATTTTATAAAAATATCAAGAATGCAATTTATGCAATTTGCAGAACATTATGTAAACGAACCTGACTTTAAGAGTTCGCCAAGGCGACCACCAAAAGTACGGTCACATTATCTGAATTATCGCCACGGCCATATCTTAATAACCAGTATATTGCTTTGTTACACAGTAATAAAGCTGCATGCAGGAGCAACAATTTTCTAAGAAATTATGCAGTGGCTGTGGCGTCTTATCATGTGCTCGTACTTTTGGTGGTCGCCTGGCGAACTCTGACTTTAACGGACCGATATATATCACTCTTAGGTGATTAATAGTATACGGCTAAATATAGAATTTGTACTTTAACTGTTAAAAATTTACATTATTCATAATGACCTATATTTAGCCAAGAGATCCGTAAGATTAGACAATGCAAACTTAAGATGCTCGTAGTTATATCAGTTAAATCAAAAATTAAAATTATGAACAATTGTTTTAAATTTTAAAACATTTATAGCATAATATTTATATATATAATTTCACCGATACAGAAACCAATTTAAATACCAGAGATGTTCTATTTACTTGTAATGTTTACCACAAGTATAGGTAGGGTATAAAACTTACAAACCCTTAATTAAATCAATCAATAGTACACTAACATTACAAGAATTACGTGATAGAATAAAAACATTATATATTCATGGAAAGGTTGAATAACTAGACAAGGAATGACATAATTGATAAGTAATTCTAACAGCATCTTCCGGCTGCCTTGTTGTTGTCATCAGGCAAAGGAGTAACTTGAATAGTCTCTCCAGCAGTTGGTCTAGCAACATCACCACTGTTAATTTCCAAAGCCTTATTAGATACAATACGGTATATTTCTAAAGATGGATTGTTATAATAATGAGATGAAGGGTAACAATAAATTAACAAGTCGAAACAAAGCACAAAATTACCGGTTAGAATGTTTTGGAAAGCAAGTTCTACGTTACTAGCATCCAAGGCAGAAGTTTCGATAAATGACAAATTGTTTTCCGCTTATAGAATTTATATGGCATGAAGATATTTAATACAATAATAGTATTAAAAAAAAAAAAAACATACTAATGGAAATTAATATAAACGTACCGGCAAATTGTTTGGCTTCTTCAGTAGGAACTGCTCGCAAATGTCTTAAATCACTCTTATTCCCAACAAGCATAATGACAATATTACTGTCAGCATGATCTCTTAATTCTTTCAACCAGCGGTTGACATTTTCATATGTTACATGTTTGGCAATATCATAAACAAGTAAAGCACCAACAGCACCACGATAATATCTGTGAAAATCATCAAGAAATGTAAAATTTAGATTATATCTAAAACGTTGCGTTGCCATAACCACATAAAGATTACTTACGCGCTTGTAATAGCTCTATAACGCTCTTGGCCAGCTTTTAAGAGATAATTAATTATCAGAACCGTGGTCAAAAGGAAAGAGTTAATATAGTATTTTAAAATTATTACCAGTATCCCAAATTTGTGCTTTGATAGTTTTATTATCTACTTGAATACTCCTGGTAGCAAATTCGACACCGATAGTAGATTTGGACTCCAAATTGAACTCATTACGAGTGAAACGTGAAAGAAGATTAGACTTTCCAACCCCAGAGTCACCAATTAAGACAACTAAAAAAAAAAAAAGAAATTAGTCTAATATTAGAGCGCCATCTATGACACCATCTATGAACTATTTTTTTTTTAAAGCTCAATGGAATATAAGCTGTATGACTTTGTTTGATAATTTGTAGAAATAACATAACTATATTAAACAATGGCTTTCTGTGTTATCAAGAAAATAATACATAACGATTGACCCAATAACAAACAAGATGAGGGAACTTTCATATACATATATTTGTTCATATTCCTTACAAAATAAAAAAAAACCCACGGTCCATACCTTTAAAAAGATAATCATATTCGTCGTCTTTACTCATCTTGAAATTAAAAAATTAAATAAAGATGAAAAATATAAAGAGCCTTGCAACGTTAGAGAAAAAATGGCTGTGGCGGTGTAAGAAGTTACTATTGATGGGTTTTTTTATATGTATCAAATTTTTCGATACTAAGGTACACAAATAGTGATATTCATCAGTGCATAATTACAATTATTGTTTAATGTCATTACCGGTGTACTTAAGGAAATATTGTGCAAATTAACACAAACAATGCTTTCTAGGAATTCAATTATTTCTTGGCCTCAAGTTACTGAATAGGAAAAAAAAAAAAATACACAGAAAATCAAAAAAAGCGAAGGGCTCCAGCGGGAATTGAACCCACGACCTCTCGCACCCAAAGCGAGAATCATACTACTAGACCATGGAGCCCGATTATGATTTTTGGGGCAATTTATTTATTTATGAATATTTTAAATCACCCATCAGTTAATTATTATTAATTACTCCTGTTGCTATGCTATAACAACGGTTTCGCCAAAAAATGAAGTCAGTTTTTTTTTTTCAAATAAATTTTTTTCTTTTACGCACTTATGCATTAATTTATCCTATGGCATTTTTTGTCAATCTCTAGTATAACGAAAGAAATCCAACGCATTAATTCCCAAGAAATAGAGCGTAATATTTCCGCGTCGGCATCTTGGCACGCACAATATAAAGACTCCCCTTATATATTTGTTGCAAACGTGCCTTTTGACTTGACGGAAGGTGATTTAATTGCAGTATTTTCTCAGTAGGTGATATTTATTTAATTTATTTCACTTTTGTTCTACAGTTGCTTTCTAATACAATATTCTTTATAGATATGGTGAAATTTTAGACATACAGCTAGCTCGTGATAAAAATACAGGCCTGTCTAAAGGTTTTGCTTTTTTGAAATATGAAGATCAAAGAAGCACTGTTCTAGCCGTTGATAATTTGAATAATATTCAGGTAAGGACCAAGATTAAATCATTAATGAACGTAATTTATTAAAATATATGCCTTAGCTATTAGGGCGTACTATACGTGTAGACCATGCAAGCGCTGAAACGAAAGATGGGCGTCGTAGGACGGGAATGAACGCTGCTCCACAATCGATCAAAGGTTGCTGTGTTATTTTTAGTCCGATCACTTATTTACTATTCTCACGAAGTATTAATCGTCCCTCTTTGTTAAATATAATGTCAAAAGATGATGGAAAATCATCTGATTCAGATTCTGAAGATGAAGACGAATTTGCTGATAAATTTGATCCAGATGATCCGATGAGAGATTATCTTATCAAAAAATTGAAAAAAGAAAAGAAGAAAGCAAAGAAGCGTGCAAAGAAAGAAAAGAAAGAAAAGAAGGAAAAAAAATCATAGATCTCGATTGCAATAGGCTAATATCCTTTGTAACCAAATCAATGTTTAATAGCCCACTTATAGTAAGAAGTTCATCACACTTCTTGAAGACTAGATATTGTAAATTATATAGTGTTTTATCGTGTCGTGATAGGTATATAAAAATAAAAAGAATGCTTATCATCGAAGGTGAATGTTCTTCATGCGATTAAAACAAATGAAAGATGAAATTTAGAGTTGAATGAGAGCTTAGATATGGCAGAACATATATCATTGTAAAATTTCACAAGATATTTTCTTTCTTTTTTTGTCAGAATGCAAATGGTGAGTTTTTGAAATTTGCATCTTTTTGTCTTGTTTTCACATTACCGTATTTACCCAAAATAATTCTCACATGTTTCTAAATAACACCCCGGGTATTATTTTGGATAAATACGGTGATTTATACAGTGGATTGCTATCAGAGTTGGTCAAATCGTTGGTTGACCAAAATTTGCTGGTCAATGGTCAAATTGGTCAAGCTTAGTCTATTAAATTTGTTATATATAAAGTCTACATAATAAGGCCATACAAACTTAATAAATCAGTTCTCAACCCTGCCGGGTCAAATTTTACAAAATTTTAAAAATTTTATGTTTCTTATATATAAAACTTTTTGGAAATAAAATTAAAGGCCGGGTTGCCGTGTCACTTTTAATGGTAGGGTGTTCGTAGTAGAAGGGTGTCCAGGATTATGATGCGACATAATATGCTATCTTCGTATTATTATATGAAATCAGGTGGTTAACCAATCAGAATTAGTAACTTTTATGTAATCTAAGAATTTTGAGGTTATTTTTTTTTATCAATATAAAGGTGAATATTTTTAAAAGATAAAGAATTTATAATAAATAATTTTAAAATTTTTTAAAAATTACAAAATTTATCTAGCAATTCACTGAATCAAAATTTATAATTTTACTATTGTTATAATTGTAATAATTTTTACTACAACTAGTGTTCCTATGAACTGAACTAAACTGAACTTTTGGCCAAGTTCAAGTTTAGTTCAAAATTGAACTAAACTTGAACTTTTTTTAAAAAAAGTTCAGTTCAGGTTCAATATTGAACTTTTAAGTCAATTTCAGGTTTAGTTCAGGTTCAGTTCAAAAGTTCATAAACATGTTCAAGTTTAATAAATTATATACTATATATATTAAAAACTTTTAATTAAAAGTCTAAAACTAGTTTAAATAATAAAATTTTGAAATATTTAAAATTTTAATTTTTTTCTTAATTTTTATTCATTTTGTTATACATGTAATTTAATTGGTTAATTATATTAAACTGTGATATAGTAATCTGCAATATTTAACAATATTTAAAAAAAAATACTATATAGTATGCTATTTAAATCAAAAATAATTCAAGTTCAACATCACTCTTTCTGCTAATCATCAAAACACAAAATTTCTGAAAATAAATTTTAACAAAAAACATAAAAAACATACAAAAGTCATTAAGAAACTAATCTCAGGCTTCTAAGTAAAGAGGAAAAAAACAACAAAAAACACTCAGTCTCTTAAGAGACTTGAGTAAGAAAAACAGAAGTGACAAGAAATAGAAGAAGTCATAAAAAATCATCGATATTTTTTTGCACTTTGCAAACTTTGGGGGAATTGGCCTTGACCCTAAATTGCAGATCTGTTTTGGTGATACAAGAATCACAACACGTAATGGAAAATAAACAAAATAAATATGACAAAAACCAGGTATGACATCTAGTGTAGAACTTAGTAATAAGCGGACTACTTAAATAGGCAACCAAAAGTTGTACGTGTGACTA